GACTTTAAAAAAAAAAAAAAAGATGTTTCAAGCATTTGCTACCTCCCCCCCCCCGACACACACAATCAAGTTACATTTAGCATACCATTTGCCCCAAACCAGAAGAAACCAATGAAGCAATTTACAGGACATGCATAGTATTGTGTGGTGCTACTTCATGAACAAGCCCTGCATGCAGTATTTATTGTCAACACTTCTCTCTCCTATGCATATCCATGCCTAGAGTTCCCCCTACTACCATTTCTCCTCACATGTAGGTTCTGCTAATTTTCAACTAAATTCCACATTAGAACTTTGAGTTGCCATGTATTTTATAACCCTCATATTGGCTTTAAACACTATAATCTCATGCACTTATTAAATTTAAGGCTTGTTCTGCTGAAAGATAGAAAAAAACACCCTTAACATCAAGCTGGTCTTCCCAACAGTTGTGAAATAACAGCTTCTTCCCCCCTCCCCTCAGTTGGGTACTGCCCATTACTTGTATTAATGTAAACTATTTTCCAGGGTGTATTGTCAACTACTCCATAAAACAGTATCATTTAACATATTGCAACAAGTTTTATACTGGATCTAAAATGGCAAAAAAGGTCCATAAAAGCAAACCAGATCCCTTGGGCCTCACACAGTTAAGCACACTACTTTGTGCACCCAAAAGCAAATAAACTGGGTAAAGCAGCCAGTTACGTGGCTAATATCATGTACAGCTGGTGCATGAATAACTGGGCACTCATTTATGGTGGGATTTGCTGGTGGAGGTCATCCGTACAACTTCAGTGAGGCACAGTCTCTTCTCTAGATCCTTCACAAGATGCCTCAACCACTCTGTATGGTATTATTTAATAGATGAGGTGAAAATTACGTTTCAGGTCAAATATTTGTTGTAATACTTACTAGATGAGAACTGTCTTTAACTTCTTGTACTTGCTGCACCTGCGGTTCAGCCACAACTTTAGTGTCCTGATCAGAAGTCATGAGCCGTCTGCTTTTTGGCTCCTTAGAGAGAACTTTATTGGTCACCTTATGCTGTAGAGGAAAAAAAAAAAGAACAAATATGTAGTAAGTGGCTATTAATATAGTTCAAAATCATAGTCAATTTCATCTGGTCAATGAATGATAGCATTTATACTTGATCTGGCCTGAAAGACATCTAGGTTTGTTCTGAGACACCACTTCTCCTTCCATGTGGCTAATTTTCTTAATTTGTTTAAGAAGGATTCCGAGTTTCAGTAGAAGATGCTCACATTCACAGTTACATTTAATTTTCACAACTTTTAAAGATTGTGTCACAGTGGCTCTGCTATGTTATGACAAAGCACATCAGAAACAGTGCAATTTGTCAGGCACATCACACCATATAACAAAGCCATTATTTAATACCATTATCTGACTAAGTGCTGTAGGCCTACCTAGCACAAGATGGTGACATGCAGAGATACCCCATGTTAGCTTTTCACGTGCAATTCTGGAACAAGCAGCAGTATGGAGGTGCAGAGCCATGCTAATGCAACAAGGAGCAGAATTCCTCTGCTAATTCATCAGGGCACAAAGCAGCGCTAACATTTATATTGCTCCGGATTCTGGAATGAGCTCAGGGAACTCTTTTACCCAGCATGAAAAAGTGTCACAGAAGGGGAGAAGATCTTAGTGTTTTGTTAGTACTAACAAAACACTAGGTAGAAACCAAAGTAAAATGGTAAATGTTAACAGAGTGAAACATGGCAAAAACAAAAAATTGTTATTTTGTACGCTTCAAAATTCCAAGAACTCTGTTCTGCTGTGAAATGACTCTGCACATCCACAATATTCCTGCAAAGCTATGACAGAGTCAAATACATAGCACTGGCAAGCCCCAGATCAAGAACCTGACTCACTGGCTCATGCACCATCTGAGCTATTTTTTTGGACACTGTTCAAGGAACCAGTATTGAAGTTCTGGCCAGGATTATACATCCAGTTTCAATGAACCCTTATTTATTCTATATTAAGTGTACAACATATAGCTGGTAAAAAAAATACGTTGCTTTTGGGGTCAATACATGTCACATCAATGCAAAGAGCTCCTGACAAAGGTTTATTAATAGTTTCATGGACCGTGAGGGAGATTGGTTATAGAGAGGGAAATAAACAAAAACCAAAATACTTTCCTGGCTAAAGACTCAGATACTAGAACTAGAAGGTACTTCATACCTAAAAAGTTGAAGTTAAACACCACATTATTTGGTATGTTGGTGTTTTATAAGTCTGATCAAAAACTGATTCCACCACTAGTGACGTTGGCAGAAAACAAGGTTTGAGAACATTCATACCCACTAAACTAAAAAGAGACTCCTGACATGGCTTCTGCTGGAACTGGAAGATGGGAAATCCAGAGTGCAAACATTAGCAGAACAAAGGCAGATCTAGAAGCTCCTAAAAGTACTCTTTACAGGCCCAGTAGCTGCTAACAGGGAACAACTTTTTGTAAGCTAGTACAACAGGCTACTCAAATTAACTAAATTTTCACTTCTTATAGCTAGGGGTCTATCCAGATCAAGGAGGCAGCCAGCCGATTTCACAGGGAGATCGCAGGACCAGCTAGCTGCCTTCCTTATAGGCTGATCATGGCAGGGGACCCCCATGCCTCTGATTGGAGGAGTATCTCCAATGGCCCCAGCCCTGACTGCTGGAGCATTTTTCCTCCTTCCTTGATAGGTTCTCAATCATTTCCCCTCATGCTATTCACACAGTAATCTCTTCCTTTCTAGATAGACCAGAAATGCCCAACCACCAGGCATATAATTATCTGATACCAACATAAGCAGGTCAGAGTCCCAAAACACGGCGAATCACTGTTCTACAGTGTTCTGTCATTTGAACATATTAAAACACTGGAGGAAGAGCAAGTAGGACCATGTGCATCACGTGACTTTAAAAAACAGAACAAAAAACTTTTGAGTAAAGTTTGTGGTGAGGTGGGCACTAGCCATTGGCTGTGCAGTGGCCATTTCTACAGTATGCAACTAAATGATTAATTTAGATTGACAATGGACAAGTTATTAGTGAACCTGGTAGCGGACTAGTACTGCGCTACTCATAATATTATGGAATGTAACATCTGTGCAAGTGTTTTGAAAAACAACACACTAGCATATTAATCTCCTAATCAAAATGAACACTCTCATACTTTAAAATTAAACTGGACATGACTCATCAAGTTAAAACCTCCAAAAACTAACAGCTTCATTCAGAATACTCAGCCATGAAATCTCATTCTTACAATTTGCAAAGTTTTGGTTGCCAAGGTAGATATACATTTCTAAAAGATTTTAAGCAGGTTTGACATGAAGTTACTAGCTTAAAGGCATAACTGCAAGGTTCCAAATGGCTCTTACAATTGAAGAAGGTACTGTCCTAAAACTTTTTAGAGGCTGTTTTGCACCATTAACTTTTAAGGTACCTTGGTGTTTTTAACAGATGAAATCAAGTGCCTTTTTTAAATAAAACAAGCCAGATTTGTTGTGGGAACATAGAGGGTTGCTCTCCAATTTGTCCATTAGTAAATCACTGCATTTCAGGTCTCCTCTCCACATGTCCTGAGAGCTCTGCTCCACTATGCCAGATCCTGCTGTGATATTGCAGCCAGTGAACTTCAGACTAGAGACTTGGCCTGCCCACTAAAGTGGAATGTTACATAACTAACTTTTTACTAGATAAAAAAGATGCAACCTCCCAGTCCAACACCCACGTACATGGAGGCTTCTACAGTCGCCACATCAGAGAATAAAAAAAGCATTCGAGGCATCAAAATAGAACCAGTAGCATTATTTTGGGAAGACCTAAATGATGAAAAAAGGAGTTTTGCACTAGCTGCCCCCTTTGCACTTATGCAGAATGCTTAATGGCAAGTTTTTCATTTATTTGTAGGCCAGTCCAACTTTATTCTAGTACCAACAGGCTTGCTACGAATATCATCTACAGCACTTTTGATAGGACTAGACATGTGAAGCAGCATACACCCAGCTAACACGGTTTTAGAGTTGCAAAACTCCATAATGCAAGACAACAACAGCTGAAAACTAAAGTTTTATATACTGGTACATTTACTTGGTCTTCAGACTTAGGAGCTAACTTGCAATGTACTACCCATACATGTGCAAATTCAGCAACCTGAAGTATTATCATGAAAGAGCAAACTTACTTTAAGACATGAAAGTACTTACTATGGTTTAATCCAAGACTAGACAAATAGGCTTTGCTTGAGTTCACCAGTGGTTTGACTTTTCACAGAAACTAGGCAGAGCATTTCAGCTTAAAACGTAATGACACTGATTATAATACAATTTACATTGCTACCTTCTATTTTTCATTATCCCAAAAGTAAATCACCACAACACAGTTTGCTAAATGTAAAGGATACAGTTGGAGAAAGGTACTGAAAGAGCTTTGAGAGTGTAAGTTCTTTTTGTGTTTGTACAGGGACTATCAACATGACATTCTAATTCCTGACGGTCAACTGCAGAAGTTACTGCAAAACAAAGCATCAGCACCCTCTACTCCAAGGTCATGACTGAGCTAGGGTGAAGTGGGTGAAGCACATACTGCATCTGCCTTTGCTAAATCTCTTTTTAAACCAGGCATAATTTTGCACTGTTCGTTAACTTTGTTTTGAAAACAGTATCTTGTTTTCAAGTATAAGCTTTGGTAAAGTATCTCCATTGACTTTTGAGTTTATGAAAACTATAGAAAGACTGAGACATTACATGAAGACAGTAACAGATGCAAAACCCAAGGGTCAGAACTGAATTTGTTCCTCCATCTTTAAACTGATTTATTACAGGCAAGGTTTAGAAGGCCTCTTAAATTTAAGTACTAATACCACCAGCTTGAAAGCTTTCTTCCATCTGAAAAACTAGCTTTGTTAAAGTGGTGCCTGACTGCCCTCTATTCTTTGTTGTAAAAGTTTACTTGCATGCATTTAGTTTTTACTTTTTGTAGTTAATGGGAGCACAGACTGTAGGAGATTACTACATGCACATACACTCAATCAAGCGAGCCAGATAGATTTGTCATTTAAAAACATGCAAACCTGAAAACAATGCTTCAGAGCCGAGATCTTGCCTGCCAATTTTCAGCCCAGAGTAAATCAGCCCTTAAAAAGAGATGTATAATGCAAGTGCTGACAACCAACTTTAGCAATTCAAATAGCAACACCGTTAAACAAAAAAGCTAGAATAAAAGATCTTTTCTTTGCCCTTCCAGCATACACAAACAAAAATATATTTGAGTTCAGTTCTGTGCAGAATTCCCTTCCTCTCAAACAATTCAGAAATGTAAAGCCTCAAGAGAAGTTTTCCAAAACAAGACCAAGACAAACACACTTCCATCACCACGAGAAAGCGCTAACAAAAAATTTCAAGAGGAGAATTTATTAAACACCATAACCCTAATTCCTCATATTCTTACAGAATTTCCAGTCTTGGGTCAGAAACCCCTCTCCAATATACTCCAGACACTATATTCACCTTCCTTATTTCATCTTCATATGCCCCTGATTCCACACTAATCCACCATGGTATCAGCCAGGCTTCTTACAACTTCAGGGACTGGTAAATTGTAGTGTGTTGGATTCACTACTGTCCAGGACAGATGTGGCATTATTGAGAACAACCATCATCCTCAAACTATCAGCTATCTTTGCCATGTGGAATATGAACTGCACTGCATCCAAATAATTTCCATATCTAACTCTACCATCCAACAGAGATTACAGATATAATTCTCACTCTCAACTTGACATTAGGTACATATACAAAAATATTTTAAAAGATTTTATTTCTTCCTGGAGTAGAGTGAAACTAGGACCTTAGTAAGTTATTTTTAAACAGTTAATAATTTAAAGTTGCTATGATTAGTAGGGGGGTAGGACATGCCAACTGGGCATGCAATTGGTATGAGAAATAAAACTGATTTGGAAGATGCATTATTTGAAATAATCTAATCCAATCCCATATGTGAAATTCAGATTTAACCCCCTTCTCCCTT